CGTCTAGGTGCATTGTATCAAGCCTAAAAACGCAGCAACTTTGACACGGAAGGAATCGTTGGTGTTTTAATACCCCATGTGTGAACACATCCAAATAAAGTAAGTTGAGATGCAAGAGGATTCGCCTAATCCTCTAAGTGCTAGAGCANNGTAGGGACTTTTGGGAAGCTTCTTGATCAACATAAAGGTGTCCTGGTCGCATCTCAAAACGCAGCAGCTTTGACAGGGAAGGAGCCGTTGGTGTTTTAATACCCCATGTGTGAACACGTCCAAATAAGGTAAGTTGAGATGCAAGAGGATTCGCCTAATCCTCTTAGTGTTAGAGTATTGTAGGGACTTTTGGGAAGCTTCTTGATCAACATAAAGGTCTCCTGGTTGCCACAAATATGTTTGATCTTGACCAAACTCGTGAGACTCCAAATAAGGCAAGCCGAGAAACCATTGGTTTAGAAATTGAATAACTTTCAAACCAAAACCGATCTTGGTATGATTCCAATTCACCTGGAGTCTCTGATGAATCCAGATTCCACAACAAGTCGTTTCATATCTTAGTTCCTCGTCTTTTGGTCGTAAGTCTCCAATTAAGGCGTATGTGTCCAAATCGGGTCAGTGGGAGATCGTATGATTTGCGAACTGAATAAATCCTCCTTCTGAACTCAAAATTGGTTGATTCCACTTCGAGGCATTCTCTAGGCGAGCTTAGAATGTTCTCCAAGTTTTCTCATGCTTTGAATCTTCGTGGTTGAGATGGAAGGCTTTAATCAATAGACATATATCTGCATCGGCTTCATTAACAAGGTAGTCTGAAATTATCGTGTTTGTAAATTCCATTCTGGTTTGGTCCGAACTTCTTTTGACCCAATTCAACTTTGACGTGAGTCTCTGAAGAGTTACGTCTCTGGAATAAGTTGGTTTGTTGCTTAACTCCTTCTTGTCGGTTCGGTATGCTCTATGAAAGGCATATATGTCCTTGTCGGATCGCATGCATCTTGAGTGGCATGTTTGATGGAGCTCCAGTTCAACTACTGGTCTGATGACCTCATCACATGTAGTCAACATTATCTCTCATCTCACTTCCAACACTCTTCATAACAACACTTGGTGCAACAACTGTTGATTTAGTTCGTGATTTCCTCAATTTCTTCTTCTTAGGAAGCGGTTTTGGTGGAATGGTTTGTGTGACCTCCACACACGTTATTGTCTCTTGAATATCTCTATCCTCTTCATCTCTAAGTTGGTAACCAAATTACTCATCACCATCTCTCTTCGAAGGTTGTTTTGATGATTTTGTTGAACGTGAAGGGGGTGGAGCCAATTCTTCCAAAACAATTGGCTCTAATTAGTAATGAATTCGACTAAGAGTATATGAAGACATTTTAAACATGTGAAAATGATAACCAAAGGCTAAACAATTTTTCCTAATTAAATTATAATTTTCGGATTTAACCTAATGATTTAGCACAATTATAAAAATTATGCAATTTAAGCTCTAATGTGTGGAAGTTCATATCAATCCTATATAGAAATGATAAACCCTTATCAACCAATGCATTAACATTAATTAAATTACCTTAATTCGTTTTTAGTTAGGAACCCAAAAATTGAATTCTTGTGAAAATATGAATAAAGGTATTAGATATGTAATTGATTCACTAATAATGTATATTCAATGTCTAAACAAGTTTTTGTAAGTGAATTCTATAACAACTTAGTCAATTTAAGTTAAATTCATGAGAGTTATAAAAATGCATTAATTTGAAATCTTTGTGAAAAACTAATCAAATCTTGGTGAATTAAGCAAAAGCCCCAAAATTTGATTTCTTGGGTTATCTTCTTGAGCTCAAGAACATTTTTTAGAGAGAAAGAAATGAAGTTTGTGCCTTTAGAAAACGAAACAAGATTGATTAAAAACTTTATAAAAAAATCAGATTTTTATGTTGATTTTTTTCTAAATCTGGTTTAAAAATTAAAATGGACAAAAAATATTTACCTTAGTTGGATCGATCGAATACCAGCTGGGTTGAGTGACTGGTACTCACCTTGAGCGTGGACTGGTCGTGGGTCGGGAGCTGGGACAATGCGGAACATAGGCTAGTCGAGACGCGGAACAAGGGATGCGAGACATGAAAAATGGCAGATCAAATATCAGTCATTTACATGGCGCATTTTCAACATATATTTTTTCTTTATTTTTATATTTTTTTAAAAAATCTAAAATATTAAAATAATATAGACTAGTAGCAAAAAAATTTAGAAATATTAAAACTAAATTTTAAAAACTAATTTAAGCACTAAATAAAATAAAAATGTATCTTGCCTCCCACACAAAGAAAAAGTAATGAAACACAAAGAAAAAGAAGCAGGTAAAGTGATTATCTGTCCAAAATGAAAAACACAATCAAAGCACATCGAAACAAAGTAAGAAACAAAATCCGACTAATGATTTTTGACTGGAAAGTTTAAAGAACCCACACAAGAACCACATCATCTAAAGCTTTAACCCAAATGGGTTTTATGTCCTGAAACTCCGGTCTCCAGCATCTCCAAGCCCAGGCATTATGAACCTATTTCTATAACAAATACATCAAGGACATTAACATATCATCACCACTTTTTCTTCATAAAGCCAAGAACCCAATATCGAAAACGTGAACTTCCGTATCTGACTTACCCATTTTCATGAAATCGATAATTCCAGGCAAATACATGGAGCCTGAAATCGTGCACATAGTAACCAAACAATTTAGTAAAGAGTTAACCAAATGTCAAACAAGCTGAGAGTTGATCTTTAGCTACTAATTACCGGGGGAATTTCTTATTAAGCTTCGATAGTGCAGGAGGTGCAGCAACCACAGGGAGGTATCAGAAAAACCAGAATACTCATTTCCATAACCAAGATTTCTGACAAAAACTGCTTCCTATATATATATATACGCTAACCACTTTGATTCGCTGAACAGCCAAACCACGTTCCTTCAATAGATACATGGCCGCAATTATGGTACCACCTAATACACAAAGAAGCCCGTATTTTGAAACATAGAGAAAACTGATACACGCTATGGCATCAAGTACTACCGACGTAGGAAAGGAGTTGCCAAATTAGAATAATCAATTTTCCTTTTTGTATTAGAATTGAGCTTTGGTGTTTTTCCTTTTTTTCGATTTAAGTTTACATATGTATCTTGGCCTATAAAAGGGTCCCCTACGATGAATACGAAATCATCTTCCAGCATTAACCTTATTCTCTAATCTCTTTTGCTCAAAGAAACACGGCACCGATTACTAGATTGAAGTCGCAACAACTAGCTCTTGAGGCAAAGGTTACTAGATTGGTTACTAGAACGTATAAAAAACAAGTTGTTACTAAGCCCATGCTTCTAGTTATGAAACATTCGGTATTACCATGTCATGCATTCACATTCCCATATATGTATTGTGCAAACTTGAGAGACATCAAAACCTAGTAACATTTATCTAATATGGTGGCGACTAAGATAATTAAAACCCACTACATTTGCAAAAAATTGACAAGACTTCCGTACCTGTGGCAAGCATTGGGTAGACCAAAAATACTCTCAACTTCTTGGGAAACTCATCAGGCAACCTTAAGAAGAAGTCTTAAAGCGGTTACTGTCAAAACCTCAGTAACTACATATATAGTGCTAAAGAGAAGTTCTTACTTGTTAAGATACACCCAAGGCAAAAGTCCTTTCTCATCCCTACTTATTCCTGGTAAAAGGATAGTGGAGAGACATCATAATATAAGCAATAGAAAAGTCCCTATTTTGACATCTATCTTCGCACAAGAAATTGCAAACTGAGGATGCGTGTTCCGCAAGACCAACTCTTAATAGTGGAACAACCTACACAGAGACAAAAAAAAAAAAACAAGAATAAGTAATGTTTACATTTTGCGTCGAGAAAAAAATATAGACAAGAAGAGTTTGAGGGATAAACAAACCGCTATAGGCTCTATAGGATAGATAAGTTCAACAGAAGCAGCACCCACCAGAGACATTATTTCTCCAACAACATGACTGGACCACATAGGCAAAAAAATCAAGAAAAAATAAGCGAAAACCGGAGAGAATGGAATTGAAGAAAAAAGGTGATGTGAAACTTTGTCAAAACGTTACTCACCAGCCACTCGCATGCTGCTTCATACATAAGTAGTCTCCCTAGTTCAGCTATTGCATTCCCTAAGATAATTTAAAAACTCAAGATGTAGAGAGCAACAGAGTTACAGCGTTATAGTAGCAAACTGACAAAAAAAAAAAAAAAACTCCTATGCAAACGCAATTTAGTAGATAATGTAGTCTAAGAGCTAAAGAATATTCACTAGATTCAACGTTTAGGGTCCAACGAATCAGAAAACCGAAGAAACTGATTTCAGTTCTACACATATCTCTACTTGGGGCAGAAATACACATAAAATCTTATCTACTCACTGAAAATAGGACAAGGAGTTTGGTCATTTCAATGATCCAATGAATGATCAAAGGATGTGGTGGCACAAATACCTGAAACCAGAATCAAAATTCACATCTTTCACTTTCAAATCAACAGAAAAAGATAACTCCAAAGATCTAAATTTCAATCCGAGTGTTTTTTACCAACATCCTATTGGTCCTGTTGATCAAACCCTCCCACCCGCCGTTTTGGGTCACCCAAAAAGTGTGTAGGCGTAGAATATATGTCTATTCAACAAGGGTTTTGATCAGATACGTAAGTCTCCCTGAGTAGATTCACCAAGCAATTTATTTCACATCAAGTTG